CGATAGAAGCGGAACTAAAAGAGAGATTAGCTCAAGAACTAGCAGCTTCGATCCAAGTCAAAACACAGCATGTGTATGGAAGGCGGTGGGGGAGGAAAAACCCTTCTGCCTATCGCCCATCAGCAGACTTTCCGTTGCACACAGTGCCACCGTAGATGCAAGTACTGCGAAATATTCCTTTTATGTCCATCTCCCCCTCAAAGGCAGGAACAAGCCCGCTTTCACTGCGTTCACCGTCTTAGCGTACGACGACATCTGTCGTAACCAGCGAGGTAGGCTTACCGTAGTTGCTTCAGTTGCTTCAGCCTGAAGCTGATACATAATTTCTTCTGGCAAATTCTCTAGTTGTCGTTGGCCGTGAGGACTACTATGAAGTTTTTGAGAGATTGGAAGCGATTTTTAGTTGGGAGCATTCGGCTTGAATTGGGCAAAGTGTAAATGATTCCGTTTTAGAAAGGGTGGGGGAGGGAATGAATTTCTAGCCCCAACCCCCCTACGTGGACAACAGATTAGAAGAATGAAAACTGTTCCCCATACTTGGCACAATCTGTAAAAATTTGCAAACTTATTTCTTTATGGAAATTCAATCATCCTATTCCACAGTGTAGTGCAATGGTGGTGATAGAGCCTCTCATTAGGCATAAAAAAGCAACGTATCCAAAAGCTTTGAAACTGTAGAGATTCTTACATTCGGGCACATCCTTCTTAGTAACATTCAACTTCTTTGAATGTAATTCATCAAACGGAGCATCTTTAGCGAAGTTGGGGACACTTTGAAAATTTTACAACTCCCTTTTGAGGGACGTAGGTAACCTCATTCAAGTGTTGTAGGAGGAGAGTACAACTACACTTGAAGGAGGTCACCTACGAACACGAACACTCTCGTCTATTACGATCCTCCCCCTCCCCCTATGTTGATGAATTACCAACTGACGGTAGACTGTTAGTAAAGTTCAACGGCATAGCGCTTGACCCGAACGGATAAGTAGGCATACGCGGAGGTCAATACGTTGACCTGACAGAAGACATTTCGGAAGAATGACACGACTCTCGCGCTGTTGAAAACCATCATATGTGATGAGATGGATAAAGGGCTCGAAAGTCTAGGTGCGTTCCATCCTTTTTGGGATGCGCACTTCTACTTCCATTCACAACCGCTATGGCAATCTGAACGCGATTTCGCCTACTATACAGGGGCTTGTGGAGGACGCCGAAGCACAAGTCAGTAACTGATCACCGGACAAATGCTGTAGAAATTATCGAGCCAAAGAAGCAAAAGCTTAGCTGGCCTGGGTCAGGTTCAATCCAGGACTTACCCCTGACCTTACGTATGACCAAACCAGCTTGCACAAGCAAGCCCATATCTGACGTGACACTTTCGGAATGCCTATCGCTTTCTTTGTGGAAATCGAGTGTATGTCGCATACCAGAATGGGTCGCTCGACACACTGCTTCATTCATATGTACCACTGGAAAGATACAAGTTCTAAGGGCATCCCAAGGCTTCTGCATCCCAAGCGAATTTGATCTTATCTGACCAATCAAAGAGATGATCGAAAACAGACGTGACAAAAATAAACAACCACTAACACTGTGCCATTGCCTAGCAGAGCGATTTTTGACTTCGTAACTGAACACGACAGCTGTACTCCCGATAAAAACTCGAATCATCTACCTTACGAGACAGTTTCAAGGAGGATATGAATATTAAAGAAGAAGAACGGCACTTCTTAGAAACTTCTCATTTACTTACAATAAGCAATTGGCGTATTGGATAGTAAGGAAGTAGCATTTTGTAGATACCCAATCCACACAAAAATGCCGCCTTCACTAAAGCAAGGTGTGTCCATTCGACAAAGGGCGAGATCACACATTCCTGTTCTCGTACTGTTCGACAATGAGAACAGCGTGACGTGCACCATTCGTAATGGGTGCTTCAACTGCGAAATCCGAAGGGAAAGGGAGGTGTTATGTGGTTGTGTAAAAATCACGTCTAACAGATTGACGACGCAAAGTCTGCTGATTTTTTTCGCGCTCTAACGCAAACTATTAAGAACTATTCTAGAGACGAATTAATAGCCCTGTTCAAGTTCAGGAAAGAAAGTGGATTACCCTCCACGACACCCATGAAGAGAGACTACTAATAAGAAACAACTCCACGAAATAGCCTTCCGACCACGTGACACAAGGCATTAGTGACACTGACACTGGTACAAGGATTGTCCACAAAAATAATAGCTCTTGTGACGTGTTCAAGAAGAAGCAAAAAGCGAGCTCCAAGATATTTCTGGCAGCTACTGCTAAAAGCCATTTAATCGCTTAGTATTGCCAAAGGAAGTCTTAAACTAATGGCAGGAGAACCGGCTGCACTCACCAGTAAAGAAACAAGACGACTCAAACTGCAATTCAAATCATACTACCGCTAATCATCAATCCTTTACAATAGAGTTTCAATGAAGACTACTAGTAAAGTTAAAGTATAACACTGTGAAAAATATTTTCTGCTTCCCAACCTTAACTGTTTAATTCAAAAGTATGAAAAAGTAACTTTAGAGTTCGCAAGAGAATATGAAGAAATCAAAAACATCAATGAAACAGATGGAGTCTCATGACACGTTTTGTTTATAAAGTTTGCGTAAAAACCACAAATTCTGATCAAAACAAAAAAGTACTGCATGAAAACTCGGAAGTACTCACTTGCGGCTTTGCGGGGAAATGAACCTCGTTTGCTTTCAGTATGGTGTTTTCCTCAAGTATTTTCTGCTGCGTTTGATCATTTCCGAACGGCTAAATATTACCAAATACGTTTCTGTCGAAAAATGGGTACAAAAAAGTGCATGGGAACTTACTTTCTTTCCATAAATACACTGATAGAAGATGACACCAACGCTCCAAACATCCACCTTAGAACTGATTTTAGGTGGGGCATGACTAACCACAAACGTTTCTGGAGGTAAATACCTGTAAATGAATTGTGAATTCAAATTGCATTGTATACAATAACATGGTGGTACCACCTACCAATACGTGCCAGCGAACTGAGATGTCAACTCGATGCTATCGTCATCAGAAGAGCCCTCCATAATTTTTGAGAGTCCAAAATCTGTTATTTTGATAGCACCGCACGTGGTTCCAGATTCCAACAAAATATTGGCCGGCTTAAGATCGTAGTGGATGATAGGAGGCTTCTTCTCGTTGAGGTAAACGAGCGCGGAAACAACCTAAAATATTGTTGTCGAAGAATAATAACCAATCAGGATAGGAGAATAGCGCCCGATATTACTGCAAAGTGGGGCGCGCACCACTTAAAGTATTCCAAGGGAAGAAAATTGTTGTAAAATTACTGAATTCGTAGGAGGAATCTTAGCTTACCCTCTAGTGATTGGGCCAAGAGTTGCACCACTTTTGTAAAAGACCATGCAACTGGATAAAACAACATTTTTAAATGACATGGGTCGCTCATAGTGGGAAACTAATGGAGGATTACTTCGCACCTTGACATGACTTCTGATTTTTCCTTAAGTCAACTGAGAAATGCGTTTTTGTTTTTGAAGAGCCAAATTAGCTATTATATTATATCACTAAAACAAAAAGGAAAGAAAGTGTTACGGGGAAAATTATTCGGGTTTCTTCCTTCGTAGATCCCGCTATGTTGTATTGCTCTTTTGTGGTCCACGGACTACTTGAACTCAGCCCTTTCGCAACCCCTCTGCGCTCTCTCGCGGGTCCCTCTCCTCTCCAAGGCTTAGTCCTAGGGCATTCACCCGTTCTCTAATCGTCTGTGCTCTAGCCATCGCGGCAGGACCATTGAGGAAAAATCAAGTAATCCGTAAACCCTCTTTTGTGGTAGTCATGCCACCTATATTGTCGATTCTGAAGGTTTGTGAAGCAGTAATCGACAAAACGTGATAATTTTGGACAAAAACATCTTTGCCACAATTAGCAATTCCATAACCCGAAACATGCGATTTTGTTTGTTTCGAACTTTTCTGATTTATTCTCTTAAATTTGTTAAAAAACTTGACCCCCCCCAGGCGTTGAAATAAGGTTGAAAACGATTTCAAAAACATTCGCTTCATAATTATGTGCTCATTAATAGTCAACCGCTGCAGATAGTAACTAGCAGCTTACCTGCATGATGATACTTCGGGCTTCCTTCTCCGAAATGCATTTGTTCTGCTTGAGATAGAAGTCGAGGTCGTTACCCGTACAGTACTCCAGAACGGTACAGAACGAATGATTGTCAATAGTAAAAAGATCGAACAATTTCACAATTCGACAATGATCAAGCGTCTTGTGAATATCCTTTTCTCTCATAGCGTGTTTCACGTAATTGGCCTGGAATGGATTGAATTGCAGCGGGAAACTGGAACGAGGTCTGATATTGAAATTACAGCCGAAAATATGAGAGCAGGAAGGAAGACTCAGGAATAGCTCAGCTTCTACCGGAAAGATTAAGCAGCACTGTGTCACATCGATGTTGAAAAAATCCATGTTCTAGCATATGACGCACCTTTTTCTCCTCCTTCCACTCTTTATTTACGTGGTGGATTTTGCAAGCAACAAAACGATTCTCCTCAAGATCGAAAGCTCGCCAAACCTCACTGAAATTGAGTAGCAAATTAAAGAAAGGTTCCAAGACAATGAAGCGTTCGGAGAAGATTTTGCATAGTGTGAGTTCCAGGAAAACACTAGCACTGAAAACCTTTCGCATTGGGTCGATATTTCCTCCAAAATACGCATCGGCGCGTACACACACCCAAAAAGGACATTGAGGTCATCCTACCCATGTCTACATTCACGACATCTGCGTGAACTAGTGACTGAAGTGCATGTTTAAAAAAGGTTTCATTGCCGGCAAGAGAGCAACACGAGCAACAAAAGAGAGCTTCTACCTCAGATATTACAAAATTAACCGCTTAGTTTGTGCAATAGTAAATGTATTACAAAAGTTTTACAATATTCCACACCCACAATGACTCCCTTCAGCTTCTCAAAAATGAGTCAATTAATGAGATCCTAGGTTTCACAGGACACAATAAGTTCGATCTGTGCTCCAAAAAATGCTGTCATAGTAATAAGCAGAACGTACAACACTGCATTTATTTAATTATATATCTTTTTTACTCATGTACCTATAGAAAACCCGTGAAAATCATCGATTTACCCTAGATATTTGGCGCAGACACCTAACATATGCCTTCTTTCCGGAGAACGAGAAGATCTTCGACTGCAGACCACACGCACAAGTGACGACGGACTAAGAGAAAAAAAAAGCCACCTTTCTCTTGCCGTCGTCATTTGTGAAGTGTGGTCTGCACTTGATGCTTTTCTTGTTTCCCAAAAAATGCTACCATATATCTTTAAGCTTCCAGCAAATCAAGAATTCAAAGCTCTCTCCACAATACACAGAAATCTCATACATCAGATGCTTGTACGCCGAGTCTATAAAAAACGCACAAGTCTTCGGAACAAAATTCATACAAAATTCAATTTAGCCAAACGTGCCCCTCACTTGGAACTTTGCACCTGGAATAGTTTTAATAATGAGATACCGACTAAAATCCTATGCATCAACGCGTGTTGGTTCAACAAACCCAACTTTTTTTACTCTCTTTGTTCATTCCCTGACAGATTCAATGCCCTAAATTATCGTGCGTTATAACTGACCTTATAAAGTGTATCAAACACGCACAAGGGAGACAAAATCTCGCGCCTTTCCTCTCTCCCCCTGACGGCCGCCCCTTCCACCAGCCGGACGGAGAGCACCTCTTCGCAATCAATATCCTACGAACACATCAGCAAGACTGCACCTACGAGCCAGCAGCGGCAATGCCCCCGCAATAACGAAAAAACAAACGAAAACAATCAAGCAATGAGGTCGTCTTACAATGCCCAGATAGCAGCTCTTTTCATCGACTGCCGAATCCAAACATTCGCAACTGAGCTGGCATGCACTGCAGCACTATAAGTACGCGCCTGACCAAGACGGAG